AACCGACTGAGCCACCCAAGCGCCCCAAAATTTACTCTTTAACTTAAAATACACACACACACACACACACTATGACCAGAGCCCAAACCAAGTCAGGTGCTTAACCGACTGAGCCACCCAAGCGCCCCGAAATTTACTCTTTAACTTAAAATATACACACACACACACACACACACACACACACACACACAGCCAAGTCTGTTAGACAGTAGAGACCTGGAGTTGGATATAACACTTTCACCTTCTTGAAGTACATAATCATCTGAAATTTTCAACAGTTTCAACAATATGTCCTCTAAAATCCAGACCTAATGTTAAATATTAAAACAAGATTGCCATTGCAGTTCTTTTTGTTTCTTTAAGTTATATAGTCATGTAGATTAAGCCATGGCAGAGCCTGGGAGGGTGAGAGCCCTTCTGAATATGTGCGGTGCGGTGTGACTACTGACTACTTACGTTGATCCGCATGGGTGCATGGTTAAGGCCGTAGCTCCCTCTGGAGGCGTGCCTTACATGCTTCTGGGCTAGAACTTAATCTGAAAATTCAGCAGCCTGGCAGTTACTGTGGGATTCCTGCCGTGAACACTTCTAAATGAGCATCAGGATAAAATCTGTAGAAGGCTGTTCATCTTTTTATCACCAGTACACAGCCTTGACTCCAGTGCAGGGACTTGCACGTGGTGGGTGTACTCTCAGGAAATGTCTGAACCAAGCTCTGCTGGAGGGCCCCTTGTGTACCTTAGGATTTGCCCAGAGTTATTTGGAATTCCTCATGATTAGGACCACCGCTGTAGAATCTAGTTTTTCCTAAATGCGTAAATACGTTTTGTATGACAAGGAGTAATGAAGAGCAAGCCCGACTTGAGGTCATAATGCTGGGCAGCAAAGTAGGCCACTCGCCAGGCCAAGGGCTCCTTGTGTCCACCACTCGCAGAGTGCTTCATTATCTCCCAGATCTTGGCCCTCGCGTTCATAAATCGTCTGAATTAGAGTGTTTAGTCTGTTAAAATAGCTGTAAAATTCGCTTCCTTGATTCTTTCGTGGCTATTTGTGCATAAAAGCACACTCTTCTCAGCTATTGACCCGTCACAATTTGAGGAGCAGTGAAGTAAATGTGAAGAGGTCCCGTCGAGGTGGCCTACGTGGCGGGCTTCAAGTGGCATCACCTTGGGAAGCTCCTCATGGTCCAAGGCATTTTTTTCCTTTTTTGAAGACTTTTTTTTTTTTAAAAACAAATCTAGGAAGGCAGTGAGGAACACACTAAGAGGTACATGGTCCCTTCCCTAAGTACTGACTTCTAGCCAAACAGAATGATCATGTGGATAAATTGGAAGGTTAATTTATTAATTTGTAGTGAAAACTGGAATTCGCATGGGTTGGAATGATTACATAGGCGTGACCAGGGGAGAAAACCAGGATGCCTAATTAGAATGCAAACATATCCTGCTGAATGTGGATCCTGCAGTCCTGCTCCGGCCATATGTCATTGGGCCTTATCGGACAAAAGAACACCAGTTTCTCTGCCAGCTAACTGTGTGCTCCCTCCCTTAAGCAGTTCTGGATACATGACCCCAAGCAATTGTTCTTTTTTTTTCCCTCTTGTTAGATGCGGTGCAACAGTCCATCTTTAAACCTGCATGCTGTATAATTACTTCTCTTTGTGCTTATCATTACGTTCTACTCTTTCCTTCCTGAAGTGACACCCAGGCCACCTTGATTTGATTTCACGTGTTCCTAAAACTTCTGTCACACGGGGACAGGGGCTTCTTGCATTATTTCTGTTCATTAAACACCTAAATCTGATTTCAGTTTGATTCTCAAAAAAAAAAAAAAAAAAAATACCGTTAACCCCCATGTTTTGATGATCTCGCAATCGTCCCTCTTGTTGCATTCATGGTCTGTAGCATTTACTGTCTGGTGTTTCCTCCACTCTGTATTGATGGTATTTCTGTTACAGACAGCCACGAGGAGGAGGCCGAAGGCTTGGGAGTCGACCTCTCTTTCATCGGCTCTCATGCTTTTGCTCGCATGGAAGGAGACATTGATAAGCAGAGAAGACTGATCCTTCAGGGCCAGTTATCAGAGGCAGCCCTGCAGAAGCAGCACCAGCGGAAGTAAGGCAGACCCCTTGGGACTGATGGACATGGGAGGGCTTGAGGAGTAAGAAAGGACCTCACATGTGCTAAATGATAGACATATGACAAATTCTCACTGATTTTTTATGACCATCCAGTGAGGAAGATATTGCCCCCATCTTGTATGTGCAGAAATTCAAAGTTAACTTATCAGTGGTCACAGTTGAAATGCAGTGAAGCCAGTGTTCAGATGCACATCAGATTTCAGATCCCCCACTCTTTCTACGATACTTGTGCCTCTGGGTGAAGTTCTGAAAGCAGCAACTAGGGGAAGGGAAAGGCAGAGTTACAAAGCTTTTAATTAACTTTATTATATTTATAATTAGAGCATAATCTAGAGTTTTGTTACATCTAAAAACACTTTATTTCTCCCTGACTTATTGTAAGGACCTTAAAAGATACTCTATTTCCTTCAGGTGTTTTCTTAAAGCAATTCTGAATAAGTCCTTTTTCAAGCATAAAGAAAAGCAGCATATGTGCTTCTGGGTAAGCTTTTCAAGGATTAACAATCTTGGGAAAGCCAGCTGCTTTTCAGAAACTTGAAAGAAAAATGATAAATAATAAATAGTTCATATCAGCATGACCTTACAGGGTTGGTTGAGAGGTTAATATTTCATAGGATTGTGTGAGCACTTGGTACTTAGTAAGCCCTTAAAATTGATCACTGTTGTTCTCTATATACTGAGCAAATCGTGGTCTGCTTTACCTTCTACCTTTGATACCTGCCATCCCTTTTGACCAAAATACTCTCATCCTTCAATTCCTGCCCATTCTTCAGGTTTCATCTTAAAAGTGGTTGCCTCTGGAAATTTATCTCCCTGGAGATAAGCCAGAGTTGGTGGAAGAGAAGTCTGGAATAGGGCCTCCTCCTGTATGCTTTTTCATTCTCTGCACTTAACCAAAGCACAGCATAGCATCTATCGTGGTAGATTGCAGTGATGTGTGGTGTTGTCAGTCTCTGTCTGTAAAGTGGGAGTGGGCTAGACGACCTCGAGTCCGATTAGAATTTTGCGTCTGGTGAATTTCTGGTCTTCATTTTATTCGGATTTAATTTTTAGAATCAAAAGCAAATTTGCCACTAGGGGGCACCAGCGAACAGCTTTTCCAAAAGCAGTGGCGATCAAATGATCAGTTCAGTGATTTCTAAATTGGGTGTGTGTTTAAGAATCCTCTGGCACATGTTTTCTTTAAATACGGTGATAGGGTTCTCCCTCACATGACGGGGACTTCAGCATCTGTATATATTTTGAACTTTTTCACATTGTGATTCATGCACTACCAGATCTGGGTATCTTTTTTTGGTTGAAGGCAGTGGTTCTTAAACTGTCTCAGGTCCCCTTTGCACTCAAAAATTATGGAGGACCTCAGAGAGCTTTTGTTTACATGGTTTGTACCTACTGATATTTATCATATGAGAAATTACTGATTTATTTAAAAATAACCCATCGTGTTTTTATGAAAAATAACTATTACAAAAATAGAAGAAATGGCACTGTTTTTACATTTTTGCAAATGTTTTAATGTTTGGCTTAATAGAAGACAGCTGGATTCTCATATCAGCATTCAGACTGTTGCAATAAGTTGTTTTGGGGGAAGTGTATGAAGACAGTCCAGTTCCACTCAGATACATAATTGGGAGGGAGAGGAGTATGTTAATAGTCTTTGCAAATAATTTATGATATTTTCTGATATTACAACATAATTCGCTAAATGGCAGTTTATTACAGTTTAGTGGTGATACGGAATCTCAAAGCATATCCATGTATTTTTATATTCTGATATATCGAAATGTTGGGTCCTGCTCCTTGAGTGGATTTTATAATAGGAGTTTACAGCATGAATGTATAACGTGATGTATTCTCTGTTGGAAAACATCGATTCACTGAATTATTCAGATCTTCTGAATATTGACAGATTTCAACACACGATATGAAAAAATTATGCTAATATTGCACTGACCTCATCAGAAAAGTCTGTAAGTACAGGAGCTCCAAGCTTCCAGTGATAGATACAAATTTTCCAAAATTATATGTATATTTTAAATTTTAAGTTTTATCATTGGCAAGAAATACCGTTGGTTGTTTTTCTGGAAATGACAGGGTCACTTTATTCATTTTTGAGAAAACATCTGCCAGAGACTCATGTTGAATAACCGCAGTTTGTCTGCCAGGCAGTATTTGAAGAAAAACAGTGTTCCGTGAAAAAAAGCAACTAGTTCAGCTTACGAGTCACACGTGCTCTTCTGCAAGACAGTCTCCTACTTCGGTAGGTACAGGTGTTCTTCTCGCCCTGTTTTGTGATACATTAATATCCAAAAGATGTCTTCCCAAGGGTTGATTTAACAAAAATAATTTTAATTTCTCATCAAAGACCTGTTTAGATAAAACTAGCATTGTTGTTGTTGTTCTCTGAGAATTTTGGCGATGATGAGCATGGTGACTGCTAGTGCAGCCGGGGCCTCGCCGTGGTTCATCATAAGACACCAGCAGTTTTACTTAACCGTGGTTTTTCCACCATGAGTGCAAATGTAACACAGTGAAAGAGGCAGATGATGTTTCAGTATGATTGTGAAGACAGTTTTGACTTTGGAAACCCCCTGAAGAAGTGTCAAGACTGTGGGCCACACTTCAAGATCCACTGATGTGTTGTTTCTCATGAATACCCGTAGTCGAAAGGAATGTTGGTTGGTAATTGTCCAATACGGTTTTCCAAAGCGGAGCACACAGTATGGAAGCATTGGAATCACCAGGGCTGCTTGCAAAAATTGTGTCCGCCCCACACCAAACCCCCTAAATCAGAACTTCTGTGGAAAGTTTCTAAAGTTTCTTTTTTTTTTTTAGTGTTTTATTTATTTCTGACAGAGAGAGACAGTGTGAGCAGAGGAGGATCGGAGAGAGAGGGAGACACAGAATCTGAAGCAGGCTCCAGGCTCTGAGCTGTCAGCACAGAGCCCTGTGCGGGGCTCAAACCCACGAACTGTGAGATCATGACCTGAGCCAGAGTCAGATGCCCAGCCAACTTAGCCACCCAGGCGTCCCAGTTTCTTAAGTGATTCTTGTGTGCCCTAAATCACTGATGTAGCCTAACCCCTATTTATAGAGGGTAAATCATCCCCAAGACTGCCTTGCCCAGAGTCACAGCTCACTGAGAAAGAGCCTTTTGAGTGGTGAGAACGGCACATCTCGCTTCTCCACCACCTTCTTGAGCCCACTTACACAAACCGACTTCACACAAGTCTGCAAAGGACTTGAGATTTTTTGTATTCATATACAAAGAACTGCATTGTTACCACTTTTCTCAAATCAGTCAACCTGTTCTCTCTCTCTCTCTCTCTCTCTCACTTTTACACACAGACACACACACCTCATACCTTTTTCATTTCTCCATGAGTGGTATAGATAATCTGGAAATTTTGAAGTTTGTGTTTGGACTGGATACTTGTCTTCATGTGTCTCTTTCTCTCTTTAATGCAATTTGTTTCACTTAATGACTAGTTCAGTGACTAGTTCAAGCCAGTGTTAAAATCTCTTCACTCTGGAGTCCTCAGTAAAGGGGTAGCTTCTAAAAAGGAGTATGAATACAGGATGGAAAGCATTGTCCTTATTGGTAGAGGGCCTTGATCTACCCTTGGGATTCACATTTGTTACATAGTTCAGAAAACATTTCCAGTTCAAAAAACATTAGATATTTACTCTGTACAAGATAGTATTCTAGATATTGAAGTATACAGAGATAACAAAGGTAGTCCCTCTGTTTTAAAATTCATGAGTGAGCCACAGGGCCTTCAGATGTTGGGGATATGTTCTGAACAGCGGTTGGGCTATGACTATGTAGTCAACACAGTTGCCAGCCTATAGAAGTGAACAGCCTGTCGCTCCCAAAGCCTGTGCCGAAAAGCAGGCCAGGTGCCTCTGTGGCACCGTGCCCTTGAGTGATAAGCTATGTCTGAATCAAAACGTTTCCAGATTTCACAGCCCAGTGTCTGTGATGGTTACCGATGAGGTGGTGTCTCATGGCAGTGCTGCAGGGTACCTCGGAGGAGTAACAGCGGCTCAGAAGGGTGGGCAAGGAACCAGAGACTCTTTCAGGGAGCCTAAGAGACCAAAACCAGCTTTATAATGCCACTCGGACTATTTGCCCTTGTCCCCCTCCACCCCCCACCGTTCAGTGGCATTTTCCAGAGGCTACTTACCGTGTGGCATTGCAGTAGATTAGATGTAGAAGCGGGTGTGAGAATCTGGCAGAATCTAGAGAGATTTGCCACAATGAGGAGTATTAACTCTTCTCCCCAAACGGCTTTTGTAATTTAGTCACTTCCATTCACGTAAAGGTTTTTGTTGTTTTTGGATTTACAAATAATTACTTTTAACATGTCTGTTTTTATTCCTAACGTGGTAAATGCTGGTAGATATAACTGACATAAACATCGAAGCGTCTGAGACCGAAAGTTTGAGATTTGATGACTCCTTGTCTAAGAATTTATAATCGTGCTATGGGTCTTCTGTACTCTGCCATGTGTTGAGCGTTTGAGATTGCAGGCTGTCGTTTTTTCAGTTTATTTCTCTTGTTTTGTCTGAGGCTTTATTTACACATAATGAATCTGGTTTCTGTTAATTATGTTAGTTGATCAGGTTGATCAAATGATCTTTTTTCTTTTTTTTGATCTCTGAGGATCTCTGAGGTCTTTAGTTAGCAGTATCTTTTTGAAAGATTTCAATTCTTCCATCAGCAACAAAACTCAGGTCCCATGGATTATAGAGTCAGTTCATTGCTTGCCTAGCATTGCCTCACTGCATCATTGCATCTGCACGGTAATTCTTCTTAACATCTGAAAAAATCAGACATGTTGTCTAAAACCTTGCTAATATTTCTAGGTGTTCTGTCCAGTTGTGACAGTGATTTGGGTACATCATAAGATAGAAGTTGGCTTACTTGCAAAAATTAGGAAGCATCTTTTTCAGAAATAACAGCTTTAATTATTTTACAGTAATTTTCTCATTAGTGTTCTTCCGTCAGCTTAAGATCCAATTTCCTTCAACTCTTAAGTCATTTCCCAGAGTAAAAAGTTTATCTCCCTTATTATTAAGTATCTTCCGAGCCCATACTAATGTGCCAAGTGTCATGCTGAGAACATAATGAAGTGACATGCAAGACAGACACAGTGTCAGCTTCATGGAGCTTAGGGTCTTGCAGAGGAGAGAGGTGTTAAACTAAGTATTGTACAAATAACTTATTTAAACTACAGGGTGCAGTGAGCCTGTGACAAGGGTCCTCCCTAGGTCCAGCATGGGCAGTTGCATCAGGTCAGGAAAGCTGATGTTGATTCCAAAGCCAAAATTGTCCCTGGGCTACTGGTTGTACACAAATATGTTAGTCATTAGTCTTTCAAGAGTAATTTAGCGGAAATTTTCTTCATCATTCAACTTGTGGTTATACACATGGATGGTGATTGATTAACTGGAAGAAATTGCCTTTTGTTAGCTTTGTGGGGACAGCATCCAACCTTAGTTGAGAAGCTGTCCACTCAGTATTTCTGCCTTCAGGGGACTCTAGTGGCCCCCTTCACTGCCATGTTCCATATTTTGTGTGACATTTGACCTATGATTATTGCAGTTTACCCAGCAGGTAATAGAAATCAACTTACTTGGACTAAACTCTAAGAAAACAAACTATTTTGAGTTGGTGTTTCCCTTGTTAGATTTTGTTTTGATTGTTGGATTGGGGTAAAAGATTGTATGTCTTTATGCAAAAAAGTGCAGAAACCATAGCAAAAAATGAGGTGTTGTTTATAAGAAGTGTAATGGGAATTTTGAAATATTTTTTGAATAGATGAGGGAAACAAGCATTGTTTCTCTATTGGCTGAGGAGATAAAGCTAACATCTTTTGCTTTTATTCCCTTCTCCTAAATACTTATTTAAAGGAAAAGAGAGTTGACTAGGTAATCAAATTAAACTTCCACGATCTGTAGTGGGAATGGAAGAGACTTAATTAGAATAAAGAAGAAGCCAGATGAAGGTTGCAGTCCTGAGTTGTTGCATTGGATTTCATCTCCGTCCTTAGAAACTAAGCCTTTTCTGAATCATAAAACCTTTCAAAGAATCACATGTAAGCTATGAAGCTTCTCCCCCACGAATATGCTTGTATGGATTCTGCCAGCTAAAATCTATTCTAGGATCTCAAGTTGTTAATCACAGATCCAGGTTCAAAACATTTTAGAGTTTGTACCGTTTCAGGATTCATGCCATGGACTAAAGTCAATTTTAGATGGATTGAGGACTTAATTTTTTTTTTTAAATTAAAACTTATGGAAGAAGTTGTAGGTTAGTGTCTTTTATACCTTGGAGAAAGGACAGGTTTCTTAAAAGGCATTGACTGTAAAAGAAAAAATAGGTTTGATTCTATTAAAATTAAGAACTTTGGCATACGGAGCAGTGAATCTTAAAGTGAAAAGCAAATTATGGGATGTGAGTATTCACGGAAAACATAATTGGCAAATGATTGGGATCAAGAGCATGCAAGAAATTCCTACATGTATGTGAGAAAAGAACAAATAGCCCTCTAGAAAAACAATATGAACAGGCAGCTCACAGAAGAAATGTCCAATAAATATGACCAGGACCTCAGCATCATTAATGACCAGAGAAATGAGGTAACCATTTCAAACCAGACTGGCAAAAGTTAAAGCCTCTGTCAGTACCAAGTGCTGACGAGGACATGGATTCACAGGAACTTGTATCCATTGCTAGTAGAAGTATAAGTAGGTACAACACTTGGGAAAAGAGCGCTGGCCTTATCTCCCCAAACCGAATATACCCGTAACCTAGCACTTCAACCCTTAGGTAGCCACCCAAGAGAAGTCCTGCACACATAGACCAGGACACGTGTAAAGTAAGTTGATCATAACATGTTCACAGGAGCAAAAACCTGGGAACAGTCCAGGTGCCCACCAGTAGGAGAGTGGATGAAAAAAAACCACAGTTTTCCATGTAGTACAACTGCATCATACATAGTATGCAGAGTGAATGAGCAACACTGCCCCCGCATGATACAATAAATCTTAGCAGCCCAGTAAGTCAAACAGGTAAGACCCAGAAGATTGCGTACAGCATGGTAAACTTTTTCCAAAAAGCTCCTTAGGAATACATACAAATGAATAAAAAGGATACAAAAAAGGAAGCAAGAAAATGATGAACCTGCGATCCCAGACACTGGTTGGGGGGGTGGGGCAGGGGCTAGAATTGGAGGGGAGTGACGAAGTGATTAGACGTAGGTTACTGTGAGAGTGCCCGCTTTTGTTTTGGTCAGGAGGTTTCAAAGTACTTATTACTTCATTCAGTGTAAGTAATCAGATAAGCAGTTTTTTAAAGAGTGTTTAAAGATGTTTTGTGCACCTGAATCCCATTGAACACATCATTACTCAGTGTCAGGACCTCCCCTGGAGAGTGGCTAGGAATACAGACAAATAAGACACATTCTCTGTCGCACGGTCTAAAAGAGTAGATGCAAGCACTGGCAGTAAGTGGATGAAGCTTTGTTGCTAGTGTTTGTGACTTCAAAGAAGAGCAGTTAATTCTGCGTGTCCGGATCTTGCCTCCACTCCATTCCCCCCATCCGCACCCCCGCCAGCCTTCCTCTGAGCACACTTGACTGATAGAATTCTAGACGTCTGTTGGACTGCTTTTTTTCATTCCATCGTATTGCAAAGCTTGTTATTTGTAAAATGTGTCTGTCTCATATATTCAGCTTTAAAATCTTTGAAGCCAGTGCCTTTTGTTATCGTTCTCCAAGCCTCCCAAAATATGTTGAATAATCCTTGTTTATTATTTCATTCAGCAAAGCTTTGAGTCCCTACTATGATGCAGACATTTGCATACATACAGTGCATCTTTGAAGAATGAGCTAAGGAATACATGAATAGAGTATAGAAATTAACAGACGTTTACTGAATTCCTGTTAGATGTTTTAGGCTAGGTAGGACCTGTGGTACTCTTAGACACTTCAGATCTATTCTGTTCAGTCTTGCTGTGAGATGACTTAATCATAAGACAGAAAACAGTACCATTTGGGGATTTAGTGTGAATAACCAAGGAAATGACTGCGTAAAAATATGGAACAGCACAGAGGGATAAAGGAGAACGACCATAAACATAGGTCTTTTCTTGAGTTGCAAATTGTGTCTTAAGCCAGAGTTGAAAGCTATTTTGTCTTTCACCTTTCAATTTGCATAGGTAGGTAAGTTTCCAGATTTAAACTATAGAACCATGTGATAGCAAGGGTATTTTTCACAGGCAGTTCAATTTCTGTGATACTAGCAGGCATACCACTTGTTGATTACAATCCGTATGTAATAGGTTTCCTATTAAATACCCTTAGTTGTGTGAGTGTATGTTATGGCTGAAAGGTGTCCTATATGAGCACCACTTCATGGATGAGGAAACAGGTCCATAGAGGTGAAACAGCTTTATTTACTAAGGTTCCACAGAAGTGATAGGATTAGAACCCAAGTCTCCCTCTCCTACTTTAGTTTTCCTCATGTTGTGGGATGTTGCCCTGTGTGATCTAGATGCTTCAAAGTTACTTTTCATGATTTCAGTGTTGTGAAAACTTTTTTTTTTTTTGTGCAAATAAGCAGCACTTTGAATTTTAATAATAGCAGTATGAAATAGTAGAAAAAGTACTGACCTTTCCGGAAATCTGGAAATCTGAGTAAACTTCAAATTCACCTCTAGCAATAATTGGCTGATAACTAAGTCTAGTTCAGCCTTGCAAGTCGTTTCCCCGCTTTGAGATCTTTAACATCTCTTCCAGCCTCTGTGTCCTTTTAGCTAAAGCCAAGCTGAGCCAAGGTCCCTGGGATCTGCTCTGTGTTCTCAGTGTAACTGGTTTGATTAACCAATCATTAAATAAGCCGGGACTTCCCACGTGAAATTACCTAGTTCCTTTGTGGTCCCTGTAACATGTAAAATACTTGACTGTTTTTCTTCTGAAAAATAAACTTGAGGGCACTGACAGGGTCTATTCATGGTAGTATTTCAATACCTATCATTTCATAAGCACTCGGTAAGTCATGTTTGATGAGTGAACATCTGTTTGGAAAACTGCTTTAGGCCTTCCCTACATGTTGTTTAGTAGGGGAAAATAATATTTGAAAACAGTGTTCATTTGAATACCTGCTGTCTTTGTCATTTATATGAATAATCCTGATCATAAAGGATTTTTTTAAATCATATAGTATGAACACCTTCCTTTTCTCCGTGACTCATACTTGTTTATCAGTAACACATTGGTTGAGATTCTGCGTAATATAATGACCTCCTTAACTCCTTGCACATTATAATAAAACCTCATTATTTAGGGAAAGAAACAGATTCCATTTGTAAATTTAATTTACAAGGGGTTATTATAATAATTATATCCTTTATTTCTCTAGTTATAATCGCTGGTTATGTCAAGCAAGATCTGAGGATCTATCAGATATTGCTTCTCTAAAAGCCTTATACCAAACAGGTGAGCGTAAGTAGCTTTCCTTTTCCTATTTAAGGACTCCGCCTAGCATGGTACTAGACATTTCATTTTTCTCTGATTTTCTCCATTTTACCTATGAAAAAAAAATGTTTTTATACTAATGGGGATAGTTTTTGCTCAGCAAGATCTTAAAAATAACATCTCTGCCTATAAAATTTTCATCTTGCAGTTCTACATTGGCCAACTTTATTTCTTCTTAATGTCCTTTTCTTTACCTTTTAACATTTTTTTCTGCTCTTAAAAATACCATTCACTTGCTATACAAAATTCACACCTTGTCTAAATATATGATGGAGATGGTGAAACTTCTCAGATTTCCACTCTCTCCGTTACATTCCATTTTCAGACAGTAATTGTTAATTTTCAGAGTCACGTTCCAATTAGTTTTTCCTGGATCACTAATGTTATTAAAACTTATCTTTAAAAAGGCCTTGGCCCTGCAGCGTTACCTTTGGTATCCCTGATTTAAAACCAGCAAGAAGCCTTTATCTTAAGGCTTATATATACATATATATACACACAATACATACATATATATTGTTTTCCACAAAGTGAAAGAAATCTGAAGATGAAATCTGAAAAACGTTAAGTTATTGATTTTCAGTCTTTTATATTTGTGTTGAATGTTTTTCTAATGTTGGAGCCCAGTCTTGGAATAAAGTCTCCAGGTGCTGATCACATTTCCCGTTCGCAGGTGTTGATAACTGTGGGCGCACAGTGATGGTGGTAGTTGGAAGAAACATTCCTGTCACATTAATAGATATGGACAAGGTAAGCCGTGGAAAGGCTCTGTTTTACACTTAATGTTGATTATTACGGTTAGTAGGATGTGAATTTGGAATGAGGACTTAGAATATGAGAGGAGGCAGAAGTGTGTGTGCCTGGGAAGCGGAGCAGCCCTGGGCCTGCAAGCTGGCATGTGCACCACTTCAGTACGTTAGGGGTTTGGTGTGCTCTGTAGGGGAAACGAAAATACGAGAATGCGGTAACGTGAGCTCCAAAAACGGAGCTGCTCCGTTCAGAGATGGCGTAGCTGGCGAGTTCTGGGTTGGAATCACTCTAGGTTATAATTGTCCTAACAATCAGATACTGCTTTTCTTGAGTAAAGAAAAATTAACTCTTGAGTATCCACCTGAAGAGAAGTCAGAGATGTAGTTATACCAAGATGGCGTAATTCCATACCCCCTTCATTTGGAGGCAAAGGACAGATTCATAAGAGGAAAAATGGTATTACTGGCAAATAAAAATAAGAAAATGGTTATGCTTTTAAAAATAATCAGTAATCCAGGGCGCCTGGGCGGCTCAGTCAGTTACGCTTACAACTTTGACTCAGGTCACAATCTCATGGTTAGTGAGTTTGAGCCCCGTGCCAGGCTCTGTGCTATTACTGTGGAGCCCGCTTCAGAGCCTCTGTTCCCCCTCTCTCTCAAAAATAAATGAACTTAAAAAAATAAAAATAAAAAATAAAAATGATTAGTAATCCCCCCCAAAGAAAAGTGAATCAGAATGAGATTTTTTTTCCACCTTTAAAACTATCCTGAAGTTTTAAATAATAATCATTGTCATCAAAGATGAATTAAAATGATAAAGGTGGTCACATCCATTGACCCAGGGATTCTGTTCCTGAGAATTTGTACCAAGGAAATAATCTGAGTATGGAAGGAGCCTGAAGCTGCCCAAATTGGAATACTTGGGCAGGAGACCATTGAATCCACAGGATAAATATGTAGGTCTTCTGAGGACATCAGTGCATTAGAAAGTGACTGCAAAAAAGGAAAATCACTTTAACTAATAAATCATTCTTAACCATAGTAACAAATTATGTACCTGAAAATATAAAAATTGCACACAAATTTAAGATAAAACACATTTGTACAAAAGCAGATCATTGCTTTCTGGCTAAGCCCTTAGGGCTCCTGGTCGTTGGTGTTTAGGTAAAAAAAAAAAAAAAATTACAGAAGCATTGGTTGGACATGGCATGTTCCCACGGGTGGTTTGTAACACAAAACTGTGACTTAAAGTCCTAACAATTAATTATGGTGTGTCCACAGATGGAGTATTTTGTGACCCTTGAAAGTTATGGTTAGAAATATTTATAACATCATAGCAATAGAAGAGTGATGAATTAATTGCCTGTACCCTGACTTTAACTTGTTTTGTTTTAAGCATAAAGGTAAAAACTCAAAATGTAAATATTTCAAAATGGATGTCATGGTTTTGGAGAGAATTTGTTTTCTGCATTTTTCTGTCATGTGGCTATTCTCCCTTATAATGAAAAACATTTAAGTTGGGGAATTTAAAGCTGAAAATGGGTGTTTTAATTGCCCTGCATGGGGTGGAGAATGGATAGAAAGAGGGCCAAAAGCAGTCTGGTAAAAGCAGAAATAATACTAAAAAATACACACAAATGCACAGGAAAAGCTCAATTGATGCAAGTGATGTCATTACTGAGTTTCTAGTTGGAGTCATTTGTTTTATGTCATCAACAACTGATACAACTTTCATTCTCATCATTAGTAACGTGATCCATCCCAATAAACACATAAATCTCCGCCTTTGATCTTGGTGTGCACTTGCTTGGTGTTCTGGGCACCCATGATGTATCATTTCGTGTAATATGACAAGACACATTGTGAGGTCAAACCTGAAGACTGGCAGGATACTATGTGTTTTTGGTGTCCTCCTCCATCTGCTCTGGTGGCCGTTGGGTGCTCATCCGTCTTCGTCCACTCATGGACATGCCCAGGACTCTCCTGAGGAGAATCGAGTCACCTGTTTGATGGCAATCTCTCAGTGGCTAACTCTTAGCTTTCTCTATGTCATTGTTTATAGCTACGCCACTGGGTCACCCTGGCCCTGCCCATATTGGATCTCTGCTTTGTGTTTAATGTTTCCCTTAAATTTTATCCTTCTTGTAATGAAATATTTCTCTAATGTGATCCTGGGTCACATTAAATTTGAATCTTTCAGAGTTCTAAAAATGCTGCCCGGCCCATTGCCATCTACTGGCTAAACCTGGTCTCTCTTTCTCATTCATTCCAACATTAAACATGCCAAGAAAGCCAGTCATCCAAGTGAGCCACAGGAGGGAGGCATCATCACTCATCACGTCCTTCTGTCATAATTCTTGGTTACATGGGAGCTGTAAGTCTGTATCCCAGTAGAGACTCCATGGATTTTCATTGCATTTCAAGCAGAAACTTCAAGGACGATCAGAAGTCTAGAAATTGTACTTCTAATGATACTGATACCATTGATTATCCTAGAGAGGGAAAACCTGGCAATTGACCAAAGAACTCTTTTGAGTATGTAAAGGGTTATTTGAGCAGATAGAGACTGATTGTTCTCCTCCAGCAAGTAGAACAAAGCAGAAAGGGATCCTACTGTAGCATTTCTGAGAACTACCAAACGCTGATATGGTTCACTTTCCTGAAGCTTCTTTTCAAAGAGAATTGATACTCCTTAGTCTGAGATGTCCATCTACAGAGCCTGGGGCATCAATTAGATTCGCCTTCTAGGCTTTGCCTCTCTTGGCTTCTGCGAAAATGACTGCTTGTGCAAGATGATCTTACTTTTACTTCTTTTTCTCTTCTAGGCTCTCTTATATTTCATCCATGTAATGGATCACATTGCTGTGAAGGAATATGTGTTAGTGTATTTTCACACACTGACCAGCGAATACAATCACCTGGACTCTGACTTCCTGAAGAAACTCTACGATGTTGTTGATGTCAAGTTAGTTATTTTTGCAAATTTTGAAGAGGGGAGATAGCTTCTTTCTTTCCTCATATTAATCACTAGTAAACATTGCTGTGTATTCTGTGAAAAGATACTTCACGTAACAAAAATTTTTATCACCTATAGATCAGATATTTTAATATTAGGAGGCCATCCTTATCTCCAGTGTATTTTGCATTTAAGTAAATTCACATGTAAACTTTTTGCTGCTTTTAAATATCTTGCGAAAGGGTTGGGGTCATTACCAGTCTTTGTATATAAAGTAACAAAATACTACCTTTATTAATAAGGTATGTGACCCTTCTGAAAATACATTTATAAATATTATTTCATTTGACCCAGTGACCCGTGAGTTTTATAATTCAATCTGATCCCAGAAATTCTAGCACAGTATAAAAAAATGGCACACGATAACTTTTGTTAAGTACAACTTTACTTTCCTCTACCTGTAGATGGCTCTGTCACAGCCAAGGGAAACCCTGTCTTCTACAAAACAGATACTTTAAACAATGAAATGTTCTCTGAATTATTTTTTGACATTTCACCAAAAATCCAATATTTATACTAGAGCTCTTTTTAATTTTTTTTTCCTTTGTGAATATATTTCTGTTTTCCAGGAAAGAGTTAATTGTCCATAACACGGCATACTGACCCTTGTTTTTATTTTGTATTAGATACAAGAGGAATTTGAAGGCTGTTTATTTCGTTCATCCGACATTTCGTTCAAAGGTACAGTGTGTTTCTCATCAGCTAAATCTTGAATTTAAGTGCACTGCATGCCAGTAGTTTAAGATACATTTCACCATCTTAGTTCTTACTATCTCCACTGTGACTGTTAATTTCTTTGTCTCCTGTTACTTTTAAGTGATTTTTAGTTGTGAGCCTAATGCCGTGGTCCCGTGTTAACTCTAGTATCTTTGTAGGCAATGCATACGAGCTCTCAGCTTCTCAGGTCTTGCCTCTTCGTGCTCTGTGTTCTTTTGGACCCTGCTCCTGCTCCTGACATGGAATACAGTTCTTGTGCTAACTTCTGTTTGTCCTTCAGATCTCTGCTCAGTCGTTACTTTCCACACAAAGTCTTCCCTGACCAATTCTGCCAACTAGTAGGTATACCTGCATTGTACTCCCCGCCCCCCCCGTTAAGATTTTAGTTTTTAATTGCAATTACTTGTCTAATTTTCTGCTTTCTGCTAGGCTGCAGGATTCGTGAGAGCTAGATTGCAGCTATCTTGCTCACAATTAGATCCCTAATATCCCTGATATCTAGTCCTGAATCTTGACTTCATCAATACATGTATTCCCTTGGTTCTTTTATTTTTTCTAAAAATATCTTTTTTTTTTTTTTTTTTTTTTTGGCCTTTATTTTCTTCCCTATCTGGCCTGAAGCCCATGCTCTACCACTGCGGTCGCCGCTGCTAATGCCCACAGTACCCCGCCTTCCTGGGTCATTCATCACACTCGTTCGGTCAAGCCTATCATGAGGCATTTCATCACTTGGCTTCCTTCACTCTGTGTCTGGGCTGTCGGACACGAGCGGAGAAATCTTAGAGCCGTGTGATTTGGGGCTTCGAAGCAGACACGGAGCTTTCACTGCTAAGACGCCCTGGTATTTCCCTGGACAGTGTCCTGGCAAGGCTCTCCTCTCTCCTCAAGCAGCTCCTCATTCCAGCAGTGGGCTTTGCCTTGGTCTTGACCAAGAACATCGAAAACATCAGTAATAAGCTTCCCGTCCTCTTCCTCCCACCCCAGACTTACCCAACATCTGTTCCTATCATTGCCTCCTTTTCCGTCGCAAAAAAATGTCGTTACTTCTTCATGAAGGGCAGGAAGGGCAGCCCCGCTGCCTGTGATCTGGTTCCCGGAGTAGTAAGAGCGGATGTTTCCGAGCACTTCCCACGTGCCGGCTCTTCCCACGCATTCTCTTGTTTAAGCCTTGTGTCTGTGAAGTAGGTGGTAGTGCTGTGCCCATTTTCTAGGCAAGGACATTGATGCGCTGAGAGGTTAAATAAGTTTTCTGAGGGAAGCAGCGAAGTCATGGAGGCTGGATTTGAATCTAGACATTTTAATTGTGGAGCCTCCACTCATAGCTGCACAACACGTTTCCGTTTCCTCAGGAATTCTCTTCAGCAATTTTTGTCTTTCTCCTCCCATTTTTCTGGATCTAAGTCATCAACTTTTAAACATGCTAACGCCTCCACTTATATCTCTTCCCCTTCACAACTAGAATTTTCTAGTGGGACCTACATTCTGCACTCACTGTCTCCGTTTTTTTATCCACCTTAAATTCCTCCCGTCTCTGGTTCAGATTCCACTCGGGCAGCGATAGCCACTCACAGCAGAACCACTGGTCATCTTCATCCCACCTGTTGTCCCTGCAGCCTTAGTCACAGCTGGTCCCTAATTCCTGGAAACGCTTGGTCTTGGCCTTCTCGAAACTTGCTTAGTGTTCTCGCACTTCGAGCTGCTGCTCCTCCGTCTCCCGTGCTGCCCCCTCTCTCTGCTCCTGCTCATCCGTGGAGTGTTAGTGTCCCCAGGCCCTTGGCCTTTTCTTCCCTTCTGTACCTTGTTGCATTCCTGTGTCTTCGCCAAAAGCCTCGAGTATACGTGCAGTTCCTAAATACATGCCTGGGAGGCAGGGGAGCCTACTGTGTAGAGCATGAGTCGACACTCAGCTTTTGATCCCAGCTCTCCCATCTACCAGTTCATCATCTCAGACAAGTAGTGGAGCCTCTGTGCTTTAATTTCATCTTGTATAAAGTGGGGAAATAATAATGGTGCTCACCTTGTAGGGTTAGTGGAAGGGTTAATACATGCAAAACATTTAAAATTTTACCTGACCTGTAGTAAACACTCGGTAAATGTTAACCTCCTCCTCCTCCTCCTCGTCATCATTCCTGTGCTCAGACACGCATGTTGAGCTGTTGCTTAGATATCTTCACTTAGATGTCTTATAGGCCCCTGAAGTTCAGCATTTTAAACACAGAATAACTCCTGTGTTCCCCTGCTCACTCCCAGACCGCTATTCATATTTCCTGTTCTAGGGCAGTGGGACCACTGCCCTTCAGGTGCCTAAGCCAGGGAGCCAGGAACGCATCATGATACATCAGTTCTGTGTGCTCCCGACCATCCAAATCCATGCCTGTGCCGGTAGTCCTCCCACCTCTACTTTAGTTCATCGCCCCACCATCTTGTATCTGAAAGGACACCACTACCTCCTGGACCACTTCCATATTGCCTGCCTCAAGTATAGCACACCACTGTCCTTCAGGCCTTCCTAACGATATTTTCTTACAATGTTCGTATAGGAAGCCTAAAATATTTATTATGGAGTTCTTTGCAAAAGGTGGCCAAACTCCCATCTAGCCAAAAAAAAAAAAAAAAGAAAAAGAAAAAGAAAATCTGACTGTATCAGTGGGGTTTGGAGAAAATAGGATTTATTTCAGCATAAAACCCAGGATTTATTTACTTATTAAAAGAGTAGGAATGAGAGAAAGGACTTGTCCTCCATGACTTCCTTTACTTATTAAAAGAGTAGGGATGAGAGAAAGGACTTGTCCTCCATGACTTCCAGCTGTCATATAAAGGCAGTCATGGACTAGGATATAAATTTGAGTCTCCATCAAGTAAATAGGGCTTTAGTTCTTTAAATATGTTAATGAATAAAATCACAAAGAAGACTACTAAAGTCAGAGCCCTGGGATCAAGGAAGGAGACCAAGGAGAAGTAATGTAAACCTCTTCAGGCGGGCCAGGATAGACTAATGTTGTGGGAGCCAGTGGACAGGAAAAGCATCGAAGACGGTAGAAGTTGTCGTTATTTTAAAGCGCTGGGGAGAAATCAAGTAAGATATGTAGTGAAAAGTCCTCATTATACTTCATAGTAAAAAGAGATGAGTGAAGACTTCATTGAGACAATGTTTTTCACTGTGCAATGTCTCATTGTTTACAGAATTGTTGAATTTCTCATCTTAAAATTTGCGTGAAAGGGGCTCCTGGGTGGCTTAGTCGGTTAAGCATCAGACTTCACCTCAAGTCATGATCTCACAGATCAGTTCCTGAGTTTGAGCCCCACATCTGGCTCTGTGCTGACAGCTCTCTGTGCCTCCCCCACTCACACTCTGTCTCTCAAAAAATAAACATTTAAAAATGTGCTTGAAATACTTTAATCCTTTTAAAAATTGCAAGTTTTCTTTTTGTTTCCTCGGTGTTAGAAGAGCATAGTAGGTGCTAATTAAATGCTTATGAGAATGCTGTTTGGCCAGGCTTTAAAAAAAAGAAAAGAGAAGTACAGTGTTGGAGCATTCAGTTAAATGAAAGGGTTTTCCTGCTCTTTCTTTGTTCAGTAAAGTTCTGATTACATGGTCTTATCAGATAACATCTCTTGTATCAACATTTCTGCTATTTTGTTAGGCTTAGTGGGTGACTAAGTTTTTTCTTTCTGTAACACTTAAAGATATCACTGGACTATTTCCCCACCTCTCATCATCCATGTATATTTTGTCCACCCAGTGGCTAGTGACATTTTTCTATAATGGAGACAGAAGGATCAGCTTGGTCTTTGCAAGAATGTCTGCCATCCCCACTTCTATTCAGTATTGTACCAGAGGTTCTAACCACTGCCATACGGCAAGAAACAGAATGCCTCTAGATACAGAGAGGAGTAAATAATACCATCTTTACTCACAGATGACATGAGCATCTACGTAGAAGACCCCGCCAGACCCTCAGAAAAACTAGTAGAATTAATAAGGAAGTTTAATCCAGGCTTCAGGGTTTGAGATCAGTGTTCAAAAAACAGTTGTGTATATTAGCAAGAAACAATCCAATTGAAATTTAAAAAGTATTGTTATTTACACTAGCATCCAGATATATTAATTTGGTAAATTAATACAGGTAAATACAGCAAAAGATGTGAAAGACTCATGCACTGTACAAGTTATGTATACTCCAAAACATTCATGAGAGAGAGGCATAAATAAAGGAAGACATGCTGTATTTGGGGACTAGAAGACAATATTGTTAAATTCTCAGTGCTTGCTAAATGTGCAGATTCATTACGAGTCAAAAGTTCAGCAAGTTTTTTTGTAGAAATTGACCGGCAAGAATGCAAAGAACCTAAAAGAACCAAAATGTTTTTTTATTTTTTACTTTTTTGCTGTTTATTTATTTTTGAGAGAGAGAGAGAGAGCGAGAGCATGAGTGGTGGAGGGGCAGAGAGAGAGAGGAAGACACAGAATCAGAAACAGGCTCCAGGCTCCAAGCTGTCAACCCAAAGCCCGACATGGAGCTCAAACCCACAAACTGTGAGATCATGACCTGAGCTAAAGTCGGATGCTTAACTGACTGAGTCACCTAGGTGCCACCCCCTCCCCCCGCCTTTTTTTAATGGAGCCAAAATAATTTTAAAAGAAAACCAAAATTGGAGGACCAATACTCCCTGCTTTTAAAGCTTATTATAAAACTGCAGTACTGAAGACAGTGCGAGGTATTAGGCATAAAGATAGACATAGAGATCAGTGGAGCAGAATAGGGAATCCTGAGATAGATTCATGTGTATGGAGTTAACTGGTTTTTGAGAAAAGTGTATAGTCAGATCAGTCGAAAAAGAGTTCTCTTCAACAAATGGTACTGGAACAACAATCCATATGCAAACAAAAAACAAACAAAAAAAATCATAACTTTGATCTACGTCTTGCATCACATACAAATGTTAGCTGGAAATGGGCCAAA